CTGTGATCCACCGATGGGACAAACTAGTCAGCGACCTGGTTCACAACAGCCAATAGGATCAGAGCAGCCAATGGGACAAACTAGCCAACACCCTGGATCACAGCAGCCAGTGGGACAAACTAGTCAGCGACCTGGTTCACAGCAACCAGCGGGACAAACAAGTCAGCGACCTGGATCGCAACAACCGTTGGGACAGACGACCAAGCAATCGAAAACACGGTAACCAGTGGAACAAACTAGCCAGCGATGTGGACCACAACAGCTAGCAGGATAAATTAGTGAACGATCGTTAGAGCCATCTAGACCTTTGCATTCTATTCGCTGTTTCATTGAACTTTGGTTTATTACTTTTCTCTAATTTATTAGTATTTTGTTTTACGTTTCACAGTTCGACATGTTTTGAAGTAAGCATACGTTGCAGTTGAAATGCGCAATAAATATGGGGTGGAATTTTATACTTCTCTGCATGCTCTAAGGGCGGTGAGCGCATTGATGTACGTAGCACAATTGGGAGCGTTGCAGTAGAATCGTTTTATGGTTGAGAGCTCGTGATACCACAAGGTAAAAGGCGAGTGCAATCGGAGAACTCATCTAGTTTAAAATTAATTTTGTTAGATACTGAATGAAAACAAGCAGCATTAGATTTAGCGAGTCTGTCTACGATTTTTTGATTGTCTGTCAAAATTTCATTATTTTCAATTTTCAAACCTCGAAAATATGGCGAATAAGGAGAAAAAGTGTTTTAATGTGCGTCCAAATATGATCTCCTGCTTTGATATGTTTCAACTTATTTTCTCTTTTTGTTTGTAGAAAACTCATCTACTCTTGAAAGAGCACACCTCTCCAATACGAAAAATTATAACTGTTTAAAAAATCTGTGCGTCGAAATTTTCTTTTTCTATCAGCATCTATCAAAGAGTGCAGCTAAAAGCGTAGAAAACAAATCAAAGAAGGAGTCGTGGTCGGAATTATAAACTAACGCATTGCAATACTCGTAAAGAGGCTTCAGAAAAAAATGAAAGATATTCCACTGTGTTCTTCGAAAGAATCCATTTTCGCCTGCGCAATAAGTCGTTAAAATCAAAACTGGAAAATGATCTGAATTTCCTTCACTTAAAACATCTGAATTTCAACCTGAAAAATCTTTTCCAATTCGAATACCAATAACAGAGTTTGATGTTTCCGAAGTGGCTTTCTCTGTATGAAGTACTTCAAAGCCTTCATTCTCCAGTCATTCGTTTAACATATTTCCACTTTTATTATTTATTTCCCAACTCCAGTTCGCATGGTTTGTATTCCAATCGCCAAAAATAAAAGTGTTTTCTTTTTCATTTTATTCAAGCAGATCTAGTGTAGCAATCTCAACTCTGTGACAACAACTTCAGTTTCGAGAACAGAAAAATGTTTTTCCTATCCAAAACTTTACTTTTAATTTTTTGATGTATCAAAAACGCAACATCGCCGAAATTATTAATTCCAGCTTCACTCTGCCAATAGTAAAAGGGAATAGAAGGAAACTTTTGAATTTGTTTTCCCATCCTACCAATATGCACATGTTTGGCCTATGGGAAGGAAGAAGCTCATCAAAATCAGACAAATGACTACTAAGACCCTCACAATTTCACAAAATAATTACTAAATTATCTGAAGAGACTTGAGATCTCTTCTTACACCATCTCTTACTCAACTCACTCACAGACAGTCTATCATTCCACTCACACATCATGGATAATCATTAGGTCCAGTCCTTTATCTAATGCATCATTCTTTTTAATGGATACTTGTTCTAGTGATGTCTAGTGAGATTTGAATGATGATTGAGTTTCGTTTATCAATAACAAATGTTCGCTCAACTGTTCAATTTCTCGATCATATCCATTAAAATTCTTTTCATTTTTTAATTTATTTACATTACAAAGAGTGGTGGTTGTTTTCACACATGTAGTGAACATTATTTGTTGCATGCTGTTATTCATAGCTGCAACCATTTGTTGTTGTGTTTGTTAATTTTGTATTATGATCAGAAACATTTCGTTCTTTGAATTAAGACGCTTTTTATATTTCGATTAAATTCGTTTCTGATCTTGCTGATATCTTATTTAACTACTTTTATTTCATTATCTAAACTTCGGAAAGTTTCACTAACGAGAAACACTATTCTACTGGTCATCCTTGTCCCACATTCAGTTCGAATATGGCGGATTTTATCACTGGCTGTGTCCATCATTTCTTCAATTGTAAACAGAGATCCAAATGCTGCATTTAATTCTGCTTTAAAATTCAATTGTCACAGAATGTTTCAATCATTTCAAGATTGCTGTGTGCTGTGGCGAAAGGTGTTTTGGAGTGTTAGGTGTTTATTATACGTACAGAATAAAACGTGCGTAGAGAAAGGAAAGAACAGACAGATATTGACAGTACTGTAGAAGATGAAAAGTGAGGATCTAAACTGGTTTACTCGCAATTGGTCCCACAAATGTTTTTCTCAGTTCGTTTTAATCCTCAAGTGTTTATATCCTCGTGGAAAAAAATGGTTGCACACAGTATTTTAAAGATATTTTCCTTACGAAAATATACTTTTACAAAAATGATCACATATTCTGATATCGCTTGGAATTCTCTACAATTCCGTAAATTTAAATCTGGTCTTGCATTTATTTGCTGAAAAAAAAACTGAGTGCAATGACGGCCCCCTCATCGTCAGATTCCCAGAAACTGTAATGAGTGTGGCATCTCAATATTTTCTATTTTTCTCGTGTTTCTTTAGGACCCAAAGGTTAATGTTTTTTTAAAAAGATGCGCCGCGAAATGCTCTACAAAACCATACCTAACCTTTAATTTTAGAGCTTCAATCAAGAAAACTACGCAGATTATGCGAAAGACGAAAAATATGAAAACTTTGAAAATCTGTTATTTTTTTTCCACCTGAACCTTTTTCTTTTGCTACTATTTCCGTAAAAAAAGGGTTGCAAAACTGAGAAGTCAGTTCTTTTTGTACTTCTAAATGTGCTCTTTCTCGTGGTCTGTAAAAAGATCTTTTAGAACAGATAGTGTGGAAAAAACTAAAAAAGTAGCGAAAAAATGCACCTTTTTGGTACTTGTCAATTGGGGGTACCTTCGCTGTACTCAAATTATTTTTCAGCAAATAAATGTAAGACAAGACATAAATATATAGGGTGATAGAGAATTTTAGGCGCTATCAGAATATATAAGTATTTTTTATAAAGAGCAATTTCTGTAGTGATGATAAATTTAAAAAGCAAGTTGAAGAAATAGTAACAAAATGCAGTCCATGGGAATCTGACAATGTGGGGGCCGTCATTGCACTCAGTTTTTTTTCAGCAAATAAATGCAAGACCAGATTTAAATTTACGGAATTGTAGAGAATTCCAAGCGATATCAGAATATGTGATCATTTTTGTAAAAGTATATTTTCGTAAGGAATATATCTTAAAAATACTGTGTGCAACTATTTTTTTCCGCGAGGATAAATGGTTAAAAATATTAACTTTTAATGAAACATCAGCTATCATTTCGACTTTCCAGTAGTTTATATACATAGGGCCACCCTTTCTCGATCTTGTTGGTCATATCAAAATATGATGGAGTTTTTTCCAAAACTCTACTTATTATTGGTTGTGAGATATCACTGTTTAATCAGTTGGATAAAATAGATCATTCATTCATCAACAGATTTCTCCTTACAGATGCGAGTTATAGATCCCAGATTGATTTCAAACTGTTTTAATAATTTGTGACACAATGTAACAGGGTCCTCGTTCTGAATTCAGTTAGTTTTTTGAGGAACTTACATAATATTTTGGCCTGTTTGAGCTAGAACTCTTTTGAAATAAAAGAAAGTTGCACTCTTATACGCCATGACTACACATCTTGACTTCGCTTTAGAGAAAATTAGTCGTCACAACGCCTGGATAAAAAGAAACTTGTTAATTAGCAAATCGTCAACAAACAAATTCAGTGCTGGAATAAGCGGGCGCTAGTGTACTTCTTTTTATATTTCAAACATTTAATAAATATCCATCTAAGCGTCTCTGAAAATTGTTGTGAGTCTCGGTCTGATCAGAAAAATTTACGCAACAAACTATCACCACATGCGAACGTCAAAAGAGTCAAAAATTCGATATCTGAATGTGTTGACTCTGACATGTTTCCTGAATGAATTATCAAAATAAAAGGCCACAGTTTCATCATTCTTCTTGAGTTGTAAAGAGTTTAGGACGATTTTGTTCTGTCCCTACAAAATTCATGTTCTACATAGAATCACTTTTAAATGACGGAATTTAGCGGTCCCTCAACAAAGGAGTTGACACATTACAAGAGCCCTTTTCTGATTGACGACAATAATCGATCTATCGGTTTGTCATGGAATCAAAAAGGCTACGTTAAAATATAGCACAGTCTTCATGTCTCCGTATAAGTAGAAATATAGACAAAATATATCCAGAAGAAAATCTACCCATTATGTGCAGTGACCACTACGAATTTGTGAATGCGTTTCGATAAATACTAAAATAAAACCGAGTGATATCATTTCAGTTCTGCCTCCTGACCACTATCTGAAAATAAATATAATTACTTCGAAACCATAACACGATGCTTAACGCTTTAGAATTAAATAATGCGCTGAATCGTCGAAGGATAGATGCTAGAAATTATACGAGTAGGTAATTATACGAGCATAGTCAGTTTATAGCATGTTCTACTCTCATATCACACCTTGAAGAATAACATTAAAGAATGTGGTTCTTCGAAAGAGGAAGATTCTACTTTCGCCGTGATATTACTTAGTGTTATTAGTATTATTCTCCATGTTACTTTATTCCAGCTCGGTTACTCTCTTACGAGCAATTCATCATCTAAATTTACAAAGGTGAAACATTTTAATCATATTTATTCACTTTACGATTTGACTGTGTAACTGTTTCGCACACAAGATGTTATTTCAGGTGTATTTTGTTGATCATGTTTCTCTCACCTTCTGCCCTTGCAATGCACTGCGTTTGTAAGCAACGTTTTTCAGTACTATATGCAAACATATTTTTAAAAAGAAAACCTGAAGAATCAAACGGTTTACAGCTGAAACTTGTCATCAGCCATCACAGACACAAAATGCGAACGCTTCTGAAGCCGGTTGCTCGTATTGCATACAAGTTTTCAGCCGCACTTTCAAACTAAAAACTAACTGTTTTATTGCAATGAGCCAAAATAGCGCTTCCTTTCCAACGACAGCATTAATAATAGCTGTAGAAGGTGTGGGAGCAAGAGGTATTAGACGATGCAGCGTTCTTATGAGAGAGATCACTGTGGAAGTTGCTCACATTTTCTCGTTTTAATATGGTTGGCGTACATCTGAGATGTGTATTGAAATATATATGGCGTTTGATAAGTCTTTACTACAAAGGAGCAATAACCGAAGGTTTCCACCTCTTCTATTAATTTGGAATTTGCTGAAAACTGGAGGGTCAAGACATTGCATTCATGCAGGAACTTCGAAAATTACACTATCTGTAAGTTTATAAAAGAGAATAATCATTTTTAATAAAAGAGTTCTTTTCGTTCACTTCTCATGCTCATTCTAACCCGAGTCGTTTTTATAGCTTCCGTATTTGCACAGCGGCGACACAGAACTGAGTTAAGAGACGTAACATGCTTTACTTTATTCTTAGTTCCATGTTTAAGGAACTAACGAAGGAACCACTCAAGGTTATAAATCGATTTCAGGTTGGGACTATTTTTGTTAGAAAGGCCCTAACGCGTAATGAAATACCCCACCATGGTTCATCCCCATGGTGCTTTGTTGCTGAGATACTGAATTTTTAGTCAGTTTTTTGCCTGTTTTTCTGTGTTTCGAGCAAAATCCGATTTTCGAATTTTGATTTCAAACTTGCCACACTTGTAGCCCGTTGTTAGTGTAAAGTAGTAAGACGAAAAAATATTCGGTGCTAATGAATTTTCTTGCCTTGAGATATTGAGACTCGAACATTTCACCAGAGGGTAACGGTGAGGGTCAGATATTCCAGTCTCAATATCTGAAGGCAGGAAAATCCATTAGCACTGAATTATTTTATCTAATTAACTTTTTGTTTTTGCTGTTCAGACCAAAATTGTACTTGTACGTCACCACCACATTTGACAAAGGTTTTCTACAGTGTAGTTCAAAATCTGGAAAAGCCAGCAGTTCGTGACCATTCTCTTTTTGTTTCTGTCGGCGCACTTGAACACCCATCATCCTGAAATTAAACCTTATTTTTTTCATGTGGGCAAGTTCAAGTCGTACACTTTTTCTGACATCTGAATTTCAAAAACTTATCTTCTGTCCTGAAGACCACAGTTCTGACACCGATACCTCTTTCTTCCGCTTTCATGAAAAATATGTTAGAAAGTGACAAGTTGTCAGATTTTAGAGCTCTTAAGGATGAAGTTACTTAATAGTTTTAGGAATAACATTTATTAACTGTGGTCTTTACCATCATTAACTGAGAGATTTAACTTGTACAGTATATCGTCGTACGGCGAGAAGTTTGGAGTACCACGTCCTGTAAGAGTACCCAAGAAAAGTTTCACATCCTCTCAATATTTTTTTAAATATTGAGTATTTATATTTATTTAAAGTTTTTCTGATGTTTTGTACTTCGACGTTCATTTGTAGTATATGCGCTCGAGAGAAGTAATATTTTTGAAGAAGTATTGGAGATTTTTTAATAAATTAAATACATTTAATGTAAACGCAAAGATTGAACCTTATTTATCGGACGTGACCTTTTTTCGGGGAAGTATAAAGGTTTCGCACTGAACCCTTTTTGTTAGATAGAACCCTACTTTTAAAAAGTAAGAAATGGTTCCAGACTGAATCCTCTTTTAGAGAAAAACTTTTTGAGGGTTCTGCGTGAGACCGAATGACTGAACCCTTAAAAAAGGTTTGTCTGAACCCTTTTGTTTAGAAAGCAGTTCAGCTAAGTGATAACAACACGCTAATGAAAATGCCTAATGTCTATGAAAGAATATTACAGTCAAGTAAAGCAAAAAAGTATAACAATTATGTTTTTAAATGTACTTGTACATATGGTTTCAATGCAGAAAACGTCGGTCTCAGTTGCAAGGCTTTTGTCAGACACCTTAGAATTAATTGATTATACATATTTTGTGAGCCATATACCGGCCGCGACAAGAGTGGTTCGCTTGAAAATTGCATTATACGACGACGAATAAATTCATTGGACATTTGACCATAGGGCATTGCACCCAGATTATAAATTTCCCATAGAAGAACACCCTATAAACTCAAGTGAAAGAATTTTATATTTAATTAAGAGCTCAGTGCAGTCTACTCACGTAACTCCATACATCCGATTTGGAACTATACGTTTGTTGTGCGAGTGCTTCGGGAGCTGTCCAACGAATAGCACATACTGAATGTTTAGTACCAGAATACAAACCATGTTCGGTAAGCCTTTAAAGAAGATAGAGTACCACTTTATTCTAATTTCATTCATCATGTATTGGGAGTATTGAGATAATGAATTGTTAATAAAATTTTTTAGCGAATTTTTCGGGTTTGAATGTGGTCGGTTTACTGTTGAATGATAATCTCTCAGCAAAGATTTCAAAAAACTCTTCTTTTATATTCACTAGTCTTGGTATTGTTAATGTTTCGAGTTTCCATTTGGATGAAGCAAAAAGCGTAGATCGATGCTCACTATGGGTATTATAGTCACAAAGAGAACTTCTTGCCTTCTTTCATAAGATGAAGTTCATTTATACAATAGTACTATGTCTTACGATAAGGAGAGTCGTCGAAAAGCTCTAAAATTCCCGTGAGAAATGAAATAAAATTAATGATGGCATTTAAGAGGGGGGAGGACTCTTCCCATTTAGATTTTCAAACTTTGTAACATTGTAGAGGATATTTCAAAATATGCATGAAAAGAGTTTGGAGGTTTATGGACTTGTAGTTTTCTAGAAATTTTTTTTTCTGTGACATAATAGTTTGCTGTAACTATTTTTCTTAAGATCAATCTTTAAAATTGAAAATACTGAGATGTTGTACTGCGGAGAAAGGGCGCTCAAATTTTGACGATACATTCTTTTCTTCTGAGCCAGAAGATAGTGTTCAGAAAATCTTCAACTCGTAGAACATAGATACTTTGACATACAGAATCGAACAGACGTCCCAAAAATCGAAAAAAATAAAGATTTTCAGGTCGGTTTTCAGAGTCCCGGAGCGCAAAGTCGCCCAGGATCTTGAACAAAGTTTCGGTCGAAGGAAGCATTTTCAAGGAAAACTGTGGGAACAAGAGTTCAGCATCAAACAACCGAAGAACTTTTTGAAATTAATAAAACTCAATTTTTAAATTAAATTTTAAGAAAATTTAAACTTTAAAAACCAGTGTTTTGGGCTTTAAAAATCGACTCTAAGAAATATCGAAAATTCCTTCGGTTCTTTTACGCACAATTTGATGCTGAACGATTTTTGTGCCAATACTTTTGTCCAATAACGCTTTCCTTTAGCGAAAGGCTGTTCAAGGCTTTCTTTAAAATACTTTTTGCTAGAAATGGTATGGAAGGACTTAATTAGAAATGGCAGAATGGTTAAACTAAAGTAACCATTTATTTACCGACTAGAAGGATACTTACCGTACTTATGTCTTAATCTTAAGCTACTTTAAGAATAACGTATATGTTGTAAGCAAACTTATAATTCAATCAAATTTAAAATCTACCTAGGCAAAATTAAAATTTTAATTATGAACAGGCAAATTTTAAATTTGACTGAATTTTAAGTTTGCCTACAACATATATTTACAATTACTGAACTATTATTCAGAAGTACTTGTGGATGAAATCTTGTTTTCTCTCTTCAAACTTTTTTGCAATAATTATTTCAAAAAATGTTAGAAATAATGTTCACTATTGATGATGAACCATCGCCGATGGTTCATCGTCAATAGTAAACACCGGGTGTATTTACACGCTGTTAAATAACTTCTAACTTTGTAATAAGATATCGCACCGATCTGCAAGATGTGTCATTTTGAAAAGAAGAGTATATGTACATGCATGCTATTTAAAAATCAAAGAGGATATACGCAAGAACGAAAAAGATATATTAGGCACCCCTTTCGAGGTTCGAAGAAGCTTGAGGTCTGAAGGGTCACAGACGATATTCTTCTCCGTTTTTCAGTATTTTTCTCCAACACATTTTTCGGTTCCTCAATTCTTAGAAACGTTTTACTATATTCTAAAATATCTTTTCGGTTTTCGAAGTCATTTCCAAGATGGGTGGTGCCACCTTGCATAACTGTAACAAATTCCAGATAACATACAGTTTCTAAGGATTTCCAAAACGTTAGAAGAAAAATAAAGTAAATCTGATGAAAAAAAGTTCAAAATCGCTCAAACCGCAGTTTTAGCCATGAGATTGAGCTAGAACCGGGAGGATTAGCAGTGTTTCATTTGTGCTTAGATAATCACAAAAAGACTATTTGATTCTAAAAGTACGTAGTACTGATAGAAAGAGCTACATTTGTGGTGAGCTGATACAGCATTTGAGAAAACAGTATGTTTCACAAAACTAAGTCAGAATTATTTACACAACTGTGAATAAAATAAGTCAAGAATTTAAGATTAAAGGCCGGATTTCGGACGTTTTAGAATTTACCGCGGTCTATGATGCTACATATAATTCTTTTGCAGATTGATGCGTTGGAAAGACATTTCATCATATACAAACATGCTGTCAAGAGCATCTAAATGATATGAAAAAAGTGAAACTATCTACTGCATTAACAATGACATCTTCGGTATCATAATCGGTTGGTGGAGTCCAAAAACGAGGTGATATGAAAAGAATGTGTTAGATGATAAAAATAGGCAATCGTGTGTCTGTTATTGAGGGCTATAACACGTTCAAAATCAAAATCATCTACGGCAGTCGGTACTATTGATTCGGATCAATAACAGACATTTGTTCAACAGTATGTATAGTGATAAAAAATGATACTATAAAATCTAAATAATTCTGCGTTTCCCTCGAGGTCAGCAGTTGAACGGCATTTCGTGGAAAAAGTACGTGAAATTAACCTGGATGATTTTATGATTTTTATAGAAAGAAAAACACAAATACTCGTAATTAAATAATCCATAGTAATTATAGCTACAAAACCTGTTCTGAGTAGTATAGACCGATCCATCCCATTGTATGTATATCCAGATGGCGTAAAGAAATCAATCTTATCGTTAAGCATTACAGAAGCACCACTAACCGGATAAAAATAAAATAGAATAAAATATCTTAGCGAATAAAAACAGTATTTTCGTATTTGTTCAATTATTCTTCATTTTTTTATCCATGCACAGGATTCTATTCAATGGCGACTATGATGTTTTGACCACAAAACGGGATATATGTAGGTTTGTAGAGGAAGACTTCCTCTATCCAATGGTGTATATATTATCAAATTCTGTTGCGTACCGTGAGAGAAAATTAAATTAGAAAATCATAGACTGGACATGTTTTAAGGGGGCTCCTCCTATACCAAAATTACAATCGTGTAGAATCAAGCCAAAACCTAACCCAATCATGTGTATACCGTTCGACACCCCACACTGTCTACTTTCATAATCCATGTCACTCTTCTGCATATTCAAGTTATTATATGACTTATAATAATTTGGAAAAAAAATTCTATGTATTTTTCGTGATGCCACTTGGAACAGTATTTATAGTTTCATGTTTGGCAACCTGAAATATATCTCAAATACACATAATTGTAGAGATTTCGTTGCTCTACAAAATGAGATGTAGCATGGCCCTGTACGAGTTTATTTATCAAACTTATTAATACTTTACTGAAACATGACAACATAAAACTGCGCATGTCA